CCATTATTGACTTAATGTTATTGACCATTTCATTTCGGAATGTAAAGGTAATAATCAGGGGAGTTGATACTCTGAACCTAATTTGATCCACAGTGAGGGCTTAATTAGACAGGTAAACGTAACAGGAATCCTGAGTGGAAGGCCATGCTGCTCATTCAACAAATTCAGCAAATGATTGAAATGCCTCCTCAGTGCCACGTGCTGTTCCAGATGCTGTGGGCTCATTGGTAAATGCAACAGACAAAATCCCTGTCGTCAAGGAGCTTTCATGTTAAGAGCTGACAAAGATCTGTTGTCCAAGAAACTGGCCTCGTGATTGCTTGATGCAGTGACCTTAACCTTCACGTCACTTCAGACTCCTGCTGCAGGTCACATGCTGAGTATTTGCACAATCTGGAACTGTTTCAGAAATCTAAAAATTCCAATATCCTTTCTTCCCACATTTTCTTTTCTTCAATCTCATAACGATTGGTTGCCCGTATTTCTCCTTCTGTATCAGCGTTTGCCTGGCCTCTTCCTCTTTCCCACCCAGTCTGTACCCCGTTTTTGACCATGTGGCTTGTCCTCTCACCAGTGCCTTGATTCCCTCGGCTTCGGCTTCGGCTGCCTCAATCCACCGAAGTCCCATGTCCAAATCGGGGATGTGTTCTGCATCCTCAACTGTTAGATCCTGCTGGAGAATCTCACGTAGCTGAGAATACTGATATCCTCGGAATTCCCGATTTTCAGCCTCTGCTCATTTCTCAACCCACTGTAAATTCTTTTGTTCATCCTTGGTCAGTACTCTCCATCCTTGGTCTCTTGCTTCTCATGTTGAGTTTTGATGCCAAACTTAACATAAGTCTCTCCAGGACTGGACTTGAGCTGCTCTTGAAGTTTGTATTGCCTCTCTTTTTTCCTGTTTTGCCTTTTCCAGTTGGCTTTTACTCAAGGATGGCTGCCTTCATGCCGCTTCCCTGGCCATGCAAATTGGGGTCAGTGTCCCTGATCAGGACACAGGGTGCTCTTCTCGTGGGCACAGACTGAGGTTACTTTCACATTTTGTATATTTAGTGACTGGCACAAAGTGGGTATTTAGTAAATGATAGCTAAGGTAAAAAATAATAAACAAGAAGAGAATTTGGAGCAAAGCCAGAATTTAGAGAATTAGAAATACAGAGTTCCTAAACCTCAAAGAAACTATAGGCAAGATGGAATGGGTACAGTTTCTAGAAGGGAGAGTGTTTTTCATTGAACAAGTGGAACTAATACATGAAAGAAAGGCAGAAGGATGTGAGACAAATGCATATATATAATTATATATTTTATAACACAGGGTCTGGCAGAAGTGAGGCCTGCTTGAGTGTGGTTGGTAGGATGATAATATGGGTGTGATCGTTTATAGTTTTAATTTGAATATTTCACCTACAATGTCATGTGGTGTGTTTGAGTGTGAGAGTGTTATGTTACAGAATTACACACTTATGATTTTATAATAAAAGATTTTGTAATAAAAAAATGGGGGCGTTATTTGTGCTGAGCCCTGTATATGTGTAACACATAAAAGGAGGACACAACCCTAGGAGAAGAATGAGCTGAGGTTTTAAAAAAGGTTAAGGCTGACCTTTCACATTTTATATGTAGAAGATGAAAACAATAAGCAAATTAATATTCTTATTAACAAATTGACCCTATACTCAGATACAAAGAGTAAATAAAATGTCTCAGCTTCCTTTTGCTTCTGTCTTCTCTGACATGAAAGATGATCTACACACAGACTAATAAGGGTAGAAGCACGAATAACAACAGGAGAAAAATTAAGCCTAAGATAGGGGAAGAGATTGTACTAGAACCTCTGGCTGCTCCAAATGACTGCACATCTCAGGTTCACAGCTGAGAAAATTTGTTTATGTCATTGCCAGGCTAGAGATTTTTGAGTAATTATGGTGAATTTGAAAACTTTTAGAAGACTGTCAAGGAATAAAGCTCCAAAATTATTTTTAAAAGAACGCAGATGCCATAGATTTTAGTGATCTATCCATAGATCATGGTGTATGGTCTTTTTACTGTATTGCTGAATCCGGGTTGTTAATATTTTGTTGAGGATTTTTACATCTATGTCCACCAGGGATATTGGCCTATACTTTTCTTTCTTTGTAGTATCTTTGTCTGATTTTGGAATCAGGGTGATGGTGGCCTCGTGAAATGAGTTTGGCAGCTTTCCCTCCTCTTGAATTTTTTTGGAATAGTTTGGGAAGGATGGGTTTTGGTTCACCTTTGAATGTTTGGTAAAATGAAAAACATTTTACCAAACATTCAAAGAAGCCATCCGGTCGAGCCCAGTCTTCACTGTTAGCAGGGCGCTCTATGTGCAGAGTAGGAGGATGCTGCCACTGTAGAGACCTAGATTCCTGTAAGGTCTTTGACATCATCTGTCCTGTATTTTATTCTTGGGGACGTGGTGAAGTGGACTATAGTATGGGTAGTTAGTGAACAACAGCACTCAATCTTAGGAACTTACTGGCAGACTGGCAGGAAGCCTCCAGGGCCGCTGGTGCCAATCCTGTTGCACCTGTCAGTTTTACATCGTCTCCCACCGCTCGCTGTCCACTGATGACCTTGCAGCCTATTTCCCCGGGGAAATGCGAGCATCCCCATCTCGGTCCGCCCACTGCCAGGCCCACTAATCTCCCTGCGTCTGTGCTCATGCGCCCCGTCATCCCTGTTCCTTCCACTTGTACATTGGATCTTCTTTATTGTGCTTCCTCATTGTTCCTGAAATCATCTCCTCTTGTAGTAGTTTTTCAAGTATTTTCCTTTCTCTGCTGGACAGAGATGCTGTACAAACATGCTATAATATTTCAGCTTACAAACACACTCTAATATCTTTCTTTAAAAAAAAAAATAAAACCCTCTCCTATCCTGTGTCCCTTCACCTGTGTTAGTGATTTTCATGCTGTTAAATCTGGTGGTCAGTCCCCAGTCTTCATCTCACTCAGCAGAATTTGTCACAGTTGATTGCTCTTTCCTGTTTCAAACTGTCTTTATTTTGTTTCTGGGCAGCACCACTCTCCCAGTTTTTCCCCTTCCTTGTTTGCTGCCACTTCCGAGTCCCCTGTGCTGGGTCCTTCTCCTCTCCTACACTGAGAGGTACTAACCCCAGGTCCATTCTCTGCTTCAGGCTCTCTCACCCATCTAGTCCCATTAAAATACAGCAGCATGCTGACCACTTCCAGATGGGTTCACGAGTTTCAGCCTCGCCGCCTGAACTCCGATTGGTATACCCCACTGCCTACCTGATACCCTTTTTGCAGTTTCTAAGAGAGCAGTGCTGCTCTTCACACAGGCTTGAAAAACCTTGTAGTCTTTTGGGGGGAGTGAGGGGGAGGGCCTGAGGGGATGCAGGAAGGAGATTTCTACAGGGAGAGACTGTTCCAGGGGACACTCTGTTTCTTCATTCCACACCTCACTTCCGTCCCTGAAAGCAGGAGTGAGTAGGCTTTTCTTACTCAGTAGTAACTTTTAACTTTTCCTCTTGCACTCAGCATCTGATGCATCAAACATACACTAATCTCGGTGCCCTGGAATGCTCTTTGCCCAGCTACCCTCATGGCCCACTTTCTTACTTGCTCCATGTGCTTGCTAAAAGACAGAATTATGAGCCTGGACAGAGTGAAACTCCATGGGCATCCAAACTGGGCTCTGCCAAATACAGAGATCAAGAATCCATTCTCATCTAAGCGCATTAGAGAAATCCCTCCCTTGGCCTAGAAATGTCCCTTGATGAGAGAGACACAGATGCATCCTGTCGTCTGTCAGTTTTCACTTCTAATGGCCACGCTGAGTTAGCTAGAATCACCCTGGCATTGCAGGATAGAAGGCTCCACCTTGTAATAGTCCAGCTGGAGGGGCTGGGCTTCAGAGCAGTTAATACTGTACCATCTCTGTGCTTATAGTTTGATAATTCCCTTTCCATAATTCTAGAGTTAAAAATGCACAGATGATTTTGAATAGCGCAGGAGGCAGCAGGGACAGGTGCGGAAGGCGTGTTGAGGCTCCATCCAGAGCTGTTCTGTCTGGTTGAGCAGCCGATGCACTGGGCACTGGTGTCTGGCTTCCATAGCTGTGTGGACCTGCACCAGCCTGGGCAGAGATGGTTTTTTCTGAACTCACACAAAGTCCTGTGTAATCTAACAGCAGCCCTGTCCCATTTCCTGCCTGTGTTACCCTCAAGTGCCTGGGTTAGTGTGGGTTATAGGAACGGTTTGCCCCGCTGAAAGGAATTCAAGACAGTTCTCTAGATTTGAAAGATCATTCTGATTTTTTAAAAAGTTGTGGTTCAGAATAAACCTTCATGTTTGTCTTATAACTATAATAAGGAAATCTTTTCATGCCTCTCTCTGATAAAAACTAGGGAGAAGAGGAAACAAATAACTAAAGAGAAGCATCTTGTTGCTATCCTAGCAGTTGGAATGTATCGGTTAGTATTTTATAAACAACCTGCATTGTATAGTACACAAAAGATTAGTTCACTGAAAAAATTCAATAAGGATATGATATTTGGTGGTGGTTTATTCATTGACTTTAGTATATTCTGAGTTCTTAGATATCTCAAATACTTTTCATTCTCACATAAGAGTAACTTACTGAACCGTCCATAGTATAGTTGATATTCCACTACCTCCTAGATTCCAGTGTTAAGAAAACCGATACTGATTTCATCTCCTTCCTTTGTAAGGTAACTGGTGATTTACCTGGAGGTCGTAAATTAGGCATTGGGAGAGGAGGGTGGAGGAGCTGTGATCAAGTTGCCTTGTTCAGATGAAATATGTTCGGAGACTCCCTCTCTCAAGACTCCCTTCTTGAAGTTCTAGATGTTTTTAGTGTGCTCTTGAAATTCCAAAAATTCACTGCTGTTTCATACATCAGAGGTGAAGACTGGCCACTGGTTTTTATGTTAGAACTTTGTTAAAGTTATTTGTTTTACTATTGCCATTAATATGTCTTTTTTTTCCTTATAGGTGAAGCTTTATTCTGAGAATATTTGATTTACCCAGTTCATGAGCTCAAATTATACTCTAAATGTTACAGAAGTATTGAAAGACTGGTAAGTATTTTATGTAATAAATATTAGCAGTCAGAATACTTGGTTCAGTCTAAGGCTTTGATGAAACTGCATAGTTACGTGGCATTAATTTAACTGCAAACAAACAATAAAACGTCATAGTTTTACATGTAAATTTTTGTTTTTCTAATCTTTTTTTAATATTTATTTTTCAGCTCGGTCATGAGCACCGACAGTAACTCTTTGGCACGTGAATTTCTGACCGATGTCAACCGGCTGTGCAATGCAGTGGTCCAGAGGGTGGAGGCCCGGGAGGAGGAGGATGAAGAGGAGGAGGAGACGCACATGGCCGCGCTTGGGCAGTACCTGGTCCATGGCCGCGGATTTCTTTTACTCACCAAGCTAGATTCGATCATTGATCAGGTAATGCTTTCCCAGCAAATAATTTTTTATCAGTATATTATCGTCAATTTTAGGTACATAATTTCTGGGTTACATAATTTCTGAGAGTCTCTGAGATAAAGTCTAAGATCTCTTACATCACTCTAACAAAGAAAAGTAGCCCCATTTAAGAACATATGTCTATGTGGGTACTTTTTAAAATGTCTGAAATACCTTAGAATTATAAATGGCCTTCTAATATGGTTTCATATTTACTCTTTTTATCCTGGCATCAGTGCAAGGTAACTGTGGTTATTTACAAAGATATAAGATCACAATTCAGAAACATGAATTCGTACTTTCAGTAAACATCAGATATGTTTTTGAAAAGTTTAGTGTAAATTATATTTAGGGAGCTTGCTAAATGTGGGGTGAAAGTAGAGAAGAACCCTCATGTGAACTAGTAATTACTGAGTCCTCTAGCTTGTATATATCTGCTTTACTGCATTATTGTGCATTATTACACAATAGTTTAGTGCATTATTGTGTTTGCTTAAAGTATTGTATGACCATGTAGCATTGTGCTAATGTCTTATTAAAGAATTAACAAAATTTGAAAGCAGGTTGGAACTATAGAGATGCTTTCATCCAACCTCCTTTCATAGATGAAAAACCGACACAGAAATAGTAAGTAACTCAGACAAGATTAACTTGAAGCCCAAATGTGATTTATATCTTTATTTCATTATAGTAGAAAACAAATATTTACTTTAGGAAAGAAGAACTCCCATCTGTTTTTAGGAACTAATTAATGTACTTAGATAATATTGCAATTAACTTGAGCTGAGAGGTGATAAAGTCTCTGTAGCACCTATGTGACAGACATTTTTAAACACTTTCAGTGGGACTGGCCTTAGGTATGCACTTAGCCATTGTTAAATTTCTTTGATACGAAGCATATTTCTAATAAAAACATATATCAGATAAATATAGAGACTAAAATTAAATGCCTTTGTTTTCATTATATGCCAAGGAACCAAACAAATATGAGAAAGTATTTGTTCATCCTGGTGACTAACCACCTTGGAATAGTCCATAATATTTGCAGGTTGATGTAATATTATTCTTTTTCATGAATGTGATTTATTAGAGGTGTGACTAAATGTAATTTAAGTTTTATATATTTGTATGACTTTTATAAATTAAAAATCAGAAAAAGTATTTGTTAGACTACGTTTAGTGATTTTCTATTTTGAAATTTTGATGGTTTCATATTCATATCATATTCCGTTCATCTTATCCCACATAAGAACAATTTAGTGCTTTCTCTTTTTAAAAGATACTATGTAAATAACATGATAAATATCAAATACCCAGGAACAAATGTTGAGAGAAACTCAAAAGGAACCAAATAAATTCAGAACTACATAATTGTAAAGATATGTTTTCTCCAATAAAAATCTCAATGGCTTTTTCTTAATGACAGCATTATTGAGGTATATTCATGTATAATAGAATTCACCTCTTTCATATGTACAAAATTCAGTTTTTTAGTGCAGTCACAGTCAATTTTGTAACATTTCATCACCTCAGATAGAAACTGTGTGCATTTTAGCTTTCTCTCTAATACTCCTTTCATGCCCCTCAGCCCTGAGCAAACACTAATCTACTTATCTCTATAGATTTTCTGCTTTGTCTTTTAAGTCATGAAATAACTTTTTATATATTATTAACTGCAATCATTCAAGTCATAATTGAATAATGTTTCTCTATGGTGATATTTTTCAATCCCTTCTTTTCCTTTGTCACTTATTTTTGGGGCTATTTCTACCAGTGGTAGTAGGAACAGTAGAAGTAGAGTGAAACTGATAGCCTTTTAAAAATAGGGCTTATCAATATTTAATGATTGAAACCAGGGAGTGGAGAATGATCATTTGGATCTCTGAGGGGAATTTAGTTGCACAAGAGTTAATCATTTAAGGCGGAATCAGAGCGCTGGATTCCAAGCTGCCCGTTTCAGGAGGACCTGGAGCATTTCTCTGCTTCTCACGCGGAGGACCACTTACAGGTTCTCTGGGAGAGCGACCATTTCAGCCCTGGCCAGTCTACTGCAGTCCTTTTGCTTTATTAATTGATGTTTAATATGAAGAATTAAACAGACTTTACTGACATAATTTGTGACAAATGTATTCACCTGTGGAGCCACCGCCCACATCACTGTCAAGAACATTTCCACCCTCTTGGAAAGTTTGCTGGGCGCCCCTGCGTGAAAACACTGTTCTGATTTCTAGCACCTGAGTGTACCTTTGCTTGTTCTGGAACTTCACATAGAGGGAATCATGCCATATGTGCCCCTGTGTCTCTAAGGTCTGCCCATTTGAGTGAGTCAGCAACTCAGGGTTTTCTGTCTCTGGCATCCCGTTGTCTGGAGGCATCGCAGTTGTTTACATCCCCTGCTGTTTGACCCGTTGGGTCGCATCCATTTGGCTGTTGTGAATAAAGCTGCTGTGAATATGTTTCCATTTCTCCGGGTAAATGTGTAGACATACAATTGCTGGGTCAAAAGGGTATTCAACTTTGGAAAAAGGCCAAGCTGCCTTCAAAGTGGACATGCGTGGGAATCCATACTCTCTACTGTCCTCTCCAATACTTGGTGCTCTAGCATCCACTGATATTTACACCCCCTCTAACACTGTCTGTTGCCCATCATTTTAGTATTAGCATCGAAGTGAATATAAAATAGCACCTGACTGGGGTTTTAATCTGCCTTTCTCTGACAACTAATGATATTGAGTACTTTTTGTGTGCTTATTGGCCATTTTCATATATTCTTTTGTAAATGTTTGTTTAAGTTTTGTGCCCATTGTTTTTCTTTTTTAAAAAAGATTTTATTTATTTATTTTTAGAGAGGGAGGGAGGGAGGAAGGGAGAGAAACAGCAACGATGGTTGCCTCTCATGCATCCCCTACCGGGGACCTGGACCACAACCCAGGCATGTGCCCTGACTGGGAATCGAACCAGCATTCTTTGGTTCGCAGGCCAGCACTCAGTCCACTGAGCCACAGCAGCCATGGCTTGTACCCATTTTTTTCATTTTAAAAACAAATAATATTTTAGAGTACATGAAATCAATGCTGATCATTATACTACACAAGAATATTAATTACACCATGGAGAGTCACACAGCTATGTTTACATTAACCCCAAAATTAAATATAAACTTGCTGTGCTTGTTACTAATGTGTGGCTTCCCTTCTCTTCTTTTCTGTCTCTCTCTCTCTTTCTTCCATTTTTTTTAAGTTTGGGTTGTGGTCGTTCTTAAAGTCAGGTCATTTGTTTATTCAGTTCTGGTTGTTCTTTAGGTATTCTTGATAAAAGTCTTTTTTTAAAATTTTTTTATTGGTTATGCTGTTACAGTTGTTCTATTCCCCCTTTCATTCCCCTCCACCCTACCCCCCATCCCCACCATTACCCCCCCTTTAGTTTATGACCATGTGTCTCAAATCCTTTAGATCTATATTTCCCATACTATTCTTGCCCCCCCATCTATTTTCTATCTACTGTCTATGCTACTTATTTTCTGTACCTTCTCCCCCCTTCTCCTCCTCCCACTCCCCTGTTGCTAACCCTCCTTGAGATTTTCATTTCTATGTTTCCACTCCTGATCTAGCTGTCCTTTTAGTTTGCTTTCGTTTTAGGTGTGGTTGTTAATAACTGTGAGTTTGTTGTCCTTTTACTGTTCATGTTTCTTTAACTTCTTTTTCTTCGATAAGTCCCTTTAACATTTCATGTAATAAGGGCTTGGTGATGATGAACTCCTTGAATTTGATCTTATCTGAAAAGCACTTTATCTGTCCTTCCATTCTAAATGAAAGTTTTGCTGGATAGAGCAATCTTGGATGTAGGTCTTTGGATTTCATGACTTGGAATACCTCTTTCCAGCCCCTTCTTGCCTGTAAGGTCTCTTTTGAGAAATCTGCTGACAGTCTGATGGGGACTCCTTTGTAGGTGACTGTCCCCTTAGCTCTTGCTGCTTCTAGGATTCTCTCCTTCATTTGAATCTTGGCTAATGTAATGATGATGTGCCTTGGTGTGTTCCTTCTTGGGTCCAACTTCTTTGGGACTCTCTGAGCTTCCTGGATTTCCTGGAAGTCTATTTCCTTTGCCAGATTGGGGAAATTCTCCTTTATTATTTGTTCAAATAAGTTTTCCACTGGTGGCTGTGCCTTTCCCCCTTCTGGTACCCCTATAATTCGGATGTTGGAGGGTTTAAAGATGTCCTGGAGGTTCCTAAGACTCTCCTCATTTCTTTGAATTCTTGCTTCTTGACTCTTTTCTGTTTGGCCATTATTTGCTTTCTTCTGGTCCACTCCATTGATTTGAGTCCCAGTTTCCTTTTCATTGCTATTGGTTTCCTGTGCACTTCCATTCATTTCAATTAGTTTCGCTTTCATATATTTGTCTAATTTGTGGCTATAATCAACCAGTTCCGTGAGGATCCTGATGACTGGTGTTTTAAACTGTGCATCTGAGAGTTTTGCTATTTCTTCATTGCTTAGATTTATAGGCTCTGGGGCTTTGAGTTCTTCTTGAGCCATTTTTGGTCTGTTCGGGTCCTTTAAGTGTGAGAAGCGGCACCTTGGACTCCCAGGTCGCTGGGTTGTGACGCTGTATGTGGGGGGCAGGGTCAGAGCAGGAAAATGGTGGTGCCCTCCCTGCCGCTTGCTGTGGGGACCCGCTGGGTTCCAGTCCAATCGCCCACTCCCTGGCTTGTCTATCCGCGCACAAATGCGCGACCACAGTCAACACGCAGCCCTGCTCCCCTGCTGTCTCCCCCGAGGTTGCTGGTTGCTCGCTTGGTCGCTGGTTCGGTCGCTCACTAGGTCCAACCCTGCGCCTGGATTCCGCGCGCCTGAGTCCCTCTGACCGAGTTTTCCTGTGCAACCCCGCTCCACCAGCTGTTGGTTTCGCCCCTTACCGGTCAGGCTGAAGAATTTGTTAACAGACTTCCGAAAAGTTCAATTTTCTGTGTTCTGGCTGTG